ATACAGCAAAGGCTGCCACAAGCCATCTTAGTTGCCCCTCCATCACTCTTGTAACCAGCATTTAATCCCACTTCTGACAAAAAAAAAAAAAAAAAAAAAAAAAAAAACAGACTGAATGGACACAGAAACTTCACAGTTCTGGAACTTTCCACAAAAATACTCGGAAAAAATCTTCACAGTACCACAAAGTACAATTCGTAATTACACTTCAAAGTACTAAGAACGCTAAACACAGCGCAATACAAAGCAAATCTAAAGAGCGAAGCTAACACACATCTCAATACTCTGAACTAACAATTGACTGCAGATGCTCGCGGTCTGTCACCTGGCCGCCGAGAAATCTCTTTTAAATTCCATTTCTCAAACTTACTGGAAGCCATATAAACACCGGATACATTTGCAATTACATACGGATCAATTAGAGTTATTCAGTTACAACACCCATTACAGTTATACAGGGACCGGACCAAAATGTTGCCAAGTTTAGCGACAAAAGTAAGTCGCCAGAGCCATTCCTATCTTGGCGATATCTCACCAATTTAGCGAGATAGCCATTTACTTAATATTAAATAGACTCCTGTATTCTTACTTTTCCGGCAAAGCATCGCCTCTTTAATTTTCATGTTACATTATGCAATAAAAAACCTACAATTTCACATCAATGTTTTACATGTATTCGAAATCAGTAACAATATATATACACTGGTGAAATAAATTACGAGAATTTTCATATTTGATCTACGATCTCCAGAACTACTGGACAGATTTTAATAAAATTTGGTGTGAATATAGGTTGATATAATACAAACAAAATAAACATTCAACAGTTATACTAAACACACATGTTCATGTGTAACACTCATGGGAGTCTGAAGGTCTGAAACAGCGGTTGCAGAAGACACAAAAGAAATGGGTTAATAGGGGGTATGGTCCCCTCTTACAGCCATATAGGGCTCACAGAGTGATGTCATACTGGAAATAAGGCAGTTTATCAGTGCTTATGGCAATTGGTCCCACTCATTCAGCAACACTGTTTTCAGTTCCTGGATTTTACTCGAAGGGGTGTTGCGAGTTGCAATTACCCTTTCCAGAGCATCTCAGACACGCTCTATAGGGTTGAGGTTTGGAGACCTGGCTAGTCAATCCATCCGACGAATACCCTCACTCTCGAGAAATTCATCAACCAGAATAGCTCTATGTGGCCTCGCGTTATCGGCCTATAAGAGGAACTTGGGGCCCACTGCAGCCCAGAAAAGGTGAACAAAGGGCTTCAAGACCTCATCCCTATACCTCACACCAGTCACAGAGCCTCTGTCAAAGACGTTGAGAGGTGTGCGGCCATCCAACATGATGCCTGTCCAAACCATTACACTGCCACCGCCATAACTATTGATTTTGCAGACATTGGAGCGTAGGTAGAGGGTCCCTGGCTCTCTCCATATGAAAGTACGGTGAGAATCGGTGTTTAGGCTAAAACAGGACTTGGCAGTGAACAGAACGGCCGCCGATTGCTCCGTACTCCAATCCCTATGCTGCCTGCACCATGCTAATTGAACTCGCCTATCCGTAGATGTGAGCGGAATGCACACAGCCGGTCTTCTGGCAAACAACCCCCTCTCATTCACTCCTTTGGAAACAGTCACCTTGTTACACGGTTTCCTGTGGCTGCATACACGTCCTGAGAGAGCTGAGAATCTGCATCCCCTCTGTTATGCCTCGCTAAAATGGACAAATAGTGATCTTTTCTGGCTGTCCTGGCTCTTGGATGACCTAGCCCAGGCTTTCTCTCAATGGATCCAGTATCCTGGAACTGTTTCCATAGGTTACACATGATGCTGGGCATTAAATCAAACTTTCTGCATACCTGGACTTGTAACTGGCCTGCCTCTAGCCTCCCCACAATTCGCCACCTCTTTCCATCATCTAAGCATTGGTGGTAACTCATTTTTACTGTTCTTATGTGAATTTAACCTAATGCCGCAAGATAACACCAAGAAACTCGCCAAGGTGTGCTAGCTAACGAATTTCATCTTACCCTTCTCGCACTTATATAAAGCCTGCTTTTCTGCTGGCTGTACCTATGCACACATATACGATTACATATTTGCTGTACACAATTTGCATTTTTCTCTAGAAGCAGTGGTTTTACTTTCAGTACAATTCTTTTCATGCAATTCGATAAAATATCCAAATTCTCTTAATTTATTTCACCAGTATATATATATATATCCACCCTTTACTCGGCATTTATTTTTGCAATTGTTGGTCGTCATTATACAGTTCCAATTATAAAAGCATTTGAAGCTGCAAAAATAGTCATGTTTTAGCCATGTCAAATTAAAGAAAAATTCAAATTCAGAAGCGTAGTTTGGTTTCTAATGCCTAAGGATATCACAGTTTTTTTATTCCCTAGTCCCTTTTATGCCAACAGAAATATTTCAAGGAGAGGCAGAGGTCTGAGATGAAATATTAAAATCTTTTACTAAATTATTTAACTTCAAGATGTTTGCAATTAGATAACAGAAAGCAATTCAGGAAATGTTTCAAGTTTGAAAGAATGAATTTTTAATGTTTACAACTACATTAAATTATTCTGAATTTCCGAAAATATTACTCTTTTATTTGTTCTATGTATGTTCTGAGATCATACTGATGCATAGCTAATGTTTTAATGAAGCCACTAATTTTTCAATTTTGAAATCATCTATGAATTAGGCTAATTGAATTCAAGAGTTGTCTACCTGAAAGTTCAACTGTACCTATACAATTTTTAAATTTTAATATGTTTTACAGTTTCAAAAAAAAAAAAAAAAAAAAAAAAAAAAAAAAAAAAAAAGAAAGAAAAGAAAAGACCTTTACACAAGGAAAAGGAGAAAAGTGAAATGTCATTCAGCCTGTTTCTTCTACAAATGAAGGACAGCATGCAATTCTTTTTTGCAAAACTGAAAGCAAATACGCAGCAAAAACTTTGACTTTCAGTACTGCTGCAAATGTTGCCTAGATTATTTGAATATGCCAAAGCACTAAAGGGCAATCTGCTTGAGGGGCTGGATGCCTTTATAAAAGACCCGCATGAAATGAAACTAGCTTGTATTCCTCTTCCACATGAAGACAAAAATCACAGACACAGCCCATTTACCAAAATTGGAACAACAAAGAAATACCAATATTCGAAAAACTTTCACCACTTCGCCATTAGTGGGTGATCTGAGGAATACAAATTATCTCTCAAAAAAAAAAAAAAAAAAAAAAAAAAAAAAAATCACTGCTATCATCCCTAAGCCTTCCAGTTTACTCACTGTCATCTTGATTTTGGATAGAACTAAACAATGTCTTTTTGAATTTGTTTTTGCTAATTTTTATCATATTATTCCTTCTTTTAATATAATATGTTTACTACATTATTTGGCATGATTAGCAGTAGATGTTTTAAGACTGAGAATATTTAGAATTTTATTCAATATAAATTTACAGAAATAGCTTTTATGCTCTACACTATTTTGTCTCATAAAGGGTTTCACAGGAGTGAAGCATTTTGTAAGTGTGAGGGAAACTTATGCTAACAATGTCTTACCACCTTGTACATCTTAAAAATTATTAACCTAATATGTCTTCAAGTTAGGACATGTAAAATGAATTTCATTTTGATGTAATTATTTCCCTTTTCTGTATTGTCAGAAAATGTGTCATACATAACTTCAAGACAAATAATCTTAATTTTGAGGCGATCAATTTTCCTTTCAGCTTAGTTGCCTGTAATTATTATAAGTAGTCCTGCAATTTAATGCATAATAAAGCCCTACACTGCTTTTAGTAGAATATTACCAAAAAGCTTCAAAAATGCATATTTGTAATAAACAAAAGACTTCTATGTCTTAATGCAAAATATACTTTAATTTCATCATAATTGTTAATTTCAGTACATTTTAAATTTTACAAACAATATGTAGTGCAGTTTAAATAATTCTTTTTTAGTTTTTAATACATTATTTGAAAAATCAGGTAAATCAATTTTTCATAGAAGACATCTAATACAGTTCACTACCAAGAAAAAGTAAGTAAAATGCAAATAATTATATTATCATTACACAGTAGATTTATAAATATCTTCTAAAAGAGTATCTTGGAAGATTATCAAAACACAAGATTACACTAGCAGAACAAAATCAATGACTTTGTACATTATAAGAAACATATACTACACGTAATACACCAAGCCATGTTACGTTTATTTAAACCACACATTATAATTTAAATCTTGCACTAGACAATCATATAATTATGACAATTAGAACAATTAATGACTTGAATTTAGCAAAAAAACTGATAATAAACTGTATCTAAAAAAAGATAAAATAGTCATTCATTATGAATAATCATTCAGTTATCAAAACGAAATTAGACGTCAAATGAATACACAAAAACAGAAATCATACATACACATAAATTTAACCTGAATTTTCCATCACTCTCTTTCAATTAATAGAAATAAAACAATTTATTCCCACATGAGAGTTATAAGAAGATTTTCAACAGCATTCTTATTTAATTCAAAGTAGTAAGTACTTTTGAGTTCGGTTACATCTGACAATTCTGACACTGCTGACAATTTTAGCAACAGGATTGCCTAATTTGCAAACTCTACGCTTTTTGCCAATCATATAAGGTAGAATCTAAGTAGCTATTAATGATTCGTATAGAAGAATGTGAGCATAATTTCATGTAAAAGATAAAATTTAAATTGAGAAAAGTTAGATAACTTATTTAAAATAATTGCTTAAAACTTATTTTTGATGAATAGTCTACTTACAATACAATTTAATCAGAAAAACACAATCCCTTTTAACGAATTTCAATATTCAGTAGCAAATAATACACTTTTAAGCAGTTATCAAGCAATGGAACATATATCAGCACTCATCTTCAAAAAGAATTCACTTACTCATTCCAAAATAATCCGTCTTTAAATCGCACTTTTGCGTATCAAAGAACATTTTTCATTTTCCATAAAACAATATTGAGTGAAAATACATATCTTCGTTCTCACTTTTGTGCTCTTTTATGTATGAACTTACAAACTAGCAGTGAGTAAGAGAGTAATAATTATGAAGAAATCACAATTTTTAACTTGTATCAAAAGTATAATAATTAAAAAGATTTTCAGTGCAAAGCAGATTTCACTTGTTATGTATTTGAGTTTTTAATCTTGAAGTATGATATGTATTATATCACGTTTTAGGATTTAAAACACATAAAGAAAAGAGTGAAATCTGTTTGAACACTACAATAGAAATAATTTTTACTGAAGTTTTTCAAACTGTGATCACTTGAATACTTTCTCATGTTGGTAAAAGACAGAACTATCATAAACTGGATAGTCGATTTTCATAAGCTTGAAGTTTTGAAACACTTTGATGTAATACATTTATTTCAATTTTGAATAAATACTGCCAGACAATACAGACATTTGTAAAAATATTTCACTTTTAAACAAAACATAACAAATATAGAATTCTTTACATAAGTGATAAAATATTCTTTCTATTACTTCTGAAGCACATTATGTAAGTATAATAAATATCATGAAATAATAAGATGTATTATGCGCAGGTACCATCAGAAATAATTTTTAAAAATATATCTCACTAAATATAATTTTTGCCCAGACAGGGTAGTGTTAGTGACTTCTGTACCGTAGGGCTCAGGTTCAAATCCCGCAGAAGGCAGAGAAGTGTGTAAATGTATAGTGTCTTTGCGGCATAGTTGTAGGTGAGAGGAGTGGGAGATCCTCAAACCATCCCCCAGGGTGCTCTCTCTCAACACTGGGGTGGAAGTAGAAATCCAACCTCCTTGAGGCTCTGGTAAACATTCTTCCATGAAATATGGACTCAACAACTCAGAAACAAACTAAATATAATTACAGTATTAAAATTGCAGAATCTCAGTTCAAACTTTGCAATGCATTTGCAATAAAAAATGTTTCATTTCATAACTTTTAAAACTAAATGTTTCTGATATGATTATTTACTCAGATTAAATATTCTGTTTAATTTATTACTGAATTATATGGTGAATAACAATTACTTTTATGACACTGGCATATTGAAATTTTAAGAAGGGAATGTATTATAAGACAAGCAAAATACAGGACAATAAATTTCATGAACAGCAATAGTGAGTAAGTAGTTCATGCATACTTTAACTGAACAGAATAACAAAAATAAGATACATTCAACATGTAACTAATAAAAAAAATTATACACTTGAAGCTCTGATTTCATCTTAGTTCCAAAGTCAAGTTTATGATACTGTGATGAAAGACAACACTATTTGATCATCAGGCACAAATTATATTTATAGTTGCTAAACTTTCTCATAAATTTCATCCTCATCTTCCAAGTCATCTTGAGTAAGAGAAATTTTTTCCATTTCTGCTTCAAACTTTGCAGTATTGTGATTAGGTACTAACTCATAATGCTGTCCTTTAATGTTAAAACGAAAGCACCCTACTGAATAAGCTTGAAGAATTCCAAACAGTAAAACAAATAACAAAACTACAGATATACAAATAGTTATCACAATCGGCACAATATGTTTAAGAGGAATTACAACTTCTTCCGAATCATATTCTATAAAATTTACATCAATGCTCCGTGGATGATCAGAAGTTATACATATACCTAAATATAAAAGGAAATACATTTTAGAAATATATTAATACTAAAATCTAACAAACAAATACAAAATGTAACTCAATAATCATTTCAAGGACTAATAAACTCTGATAAGAATTTTTTTTTAAAAAAAGTGATGCAGTTAAAAATGAGGAACATTCAACACATAATATTAAATATTTCACTTCAGAATACTGCCCCTGCACTTTATGATAATCAAGTGAGTTTTCAAATTAATTCTCATCAGTAAAAATAACTACCCCAATTACATTTAGATACATGTAATTTTACACTGAAGTTCAAAAACAGTTAGTAAAAAGAAATAGTTTAAACTTATATGCATTACAAAATGTATCAAGGAGTAATCCTTTAAGAATTTGAAACTTTTCTGAAATTCCATCTTCAGAAGATATTTATAAGCCTTAAAAAACCTTACTCCTGGTTATTTTAATACTGTCAATAAGAAGAGATTTATACCTAAGTCTTGACTGCAAGTACAACATTCGGAGCCTACCAATGATGCATCACAGCAGGGTAAACAGGTGTGCTTTACTTCATCAAGTCGAAGTGGCATCGGGCATGACAAACATGTGTTTTCAAAGGGACCAAAACACTGGGAGCACTTATCATCACATTTTTCACATTCCTGTAGAAAGTTAAGCAATGCATGAAAACATCAGACAAATAAAAAAGGCTGATTATAGACAAAGTGATTAAACAAGGTGTCCTAAAAGTTGAAGATTATACCTTCAAGAAAATAAAAAAAAACCTATAAACAAGACAGTGCTTGAATAAAAATTTGAATTTCTGGTAGTGAGACTAAAAGCACTAAATCCTTTCATAAAAAATACAAAAGGCATTCTAAGAACATAGACTAAATTTTCTACTTGTGCAGTGAGAATGATGTTCTGTTATGAAGTCTCTCATTATGTCATTTGACTCCCAAATGGTTTTTACTATTAAGCTTAAAATGCAAAAAAAAAATGTACAATAAAATTTCCTTTTTCCTTTCCTTAAATATTTGGATTCTGACATGCCCCAAGTTCATAAATTTTATTTCTTTACATTTAGTCATGATTTATACAGTTTAAATAAAAATTTAACATATGATACTGACTAATTATGATTAAATATAGCAAGTGAAAAATATTTATATGCATTAAAGAAGCATGAAGCTTAAAAATTCAAAAGCAAATCATATACATTTTTACAGCACTTATATATAAGTATTAAGAGCTCTTTTGTTGATAATAAATAAAGTATATGATACTCATAACATTCTATCCAACCAAGTTTCACAGCAGCCTAATGACACCTATTACTACCTTAAATAAAAACCTTTTGTTTTAGCATATCAAATATGGATGCACTCAGTTACTAGTGAGACTTTGCTCCCAAATGGTGATTAAGACAGCAAGTGCATGATCAGAAACTGACACATATCCCTAGCATGATGGGAATGCAAACTGACTGAAAATGCATATGCAAATGTTTTAAGACTAAATATGAAAATAATTAAAACATTCAACACCAATGACCAAATAGTAGCCTGCCACAAAGTTAAAAAAACAGTGTAACTGTGACAATGGACAACATTTTTTCAAACCTTTATTGAGTCTACGGATGAATTGATTTTGTGTATACATACGCTTATGAATAAAGTTGCGAAAAGTTGCATCACTGGGCTGAAAAAGGCCAGCTGGTCTAATCGATGCTGGGTTAACCATTAATCAAAATAAGTATGTGTGAAGGTTATCCAGAAAATGGGACACCACAAAAAGGTGCTTAGGGACTCAGGAAAGGGGGCACCAGAAAATTTCCCATTGCTGGTTTTATCATGGAATGTATGGTACACTTAAACCAACACCAAGAGAATGAATGGGGGAAAAACTAACCTTTACCCAGTCATTTTGCTTACAAGCAAATGAACGTGGGTGCGATAAAATCTTAAGTACTTGTAGCATCTTAATCTGACCCCGAGTCCAATTAACATTTATCCAACATGATTCCAACAATGCTCGGACGATCCAAAGCTGATTCTTGTGTTTCAAGAAAGCTTAAACAAAGCAACACACACTGATGAATAGAATAACAGAACTTCATAACAGAGACATCTATACACAATACTGATCATGCTGCTTTCCACCACTTCTGATTACAAAAAAAAAAAAAAAAAAATAGGGAATATCTCTCTATTCCACATGGCTGCTCTCCTGCTACTTATGACAAGAGTGCATCAGCACCACTACTTGCAATGCTGTCTAAAATTAACATAGAACATTGAGCTGCTAGTCATGTGGTCTGAAGTGAACAAGACACAGTCTGCATATGTGGGATGACTTAGGCAGCTAACTAAATGCTTTTCAGACCATCTAGGAACTGAAAAATGTACTTTTAGAAGAGTGACAAGCAATTACATAAAGCTCAATCAACAGTTTGATAATTTTTAAGAAATCAAGATGTGACGTTTGCATTTCTCTCAGATTACCACACACACACTATATTACAGAAAAAAGGTTACAAAATACAAATAATTTTCTATTATTTTTAAATTTCCATAAATTTTACTTTAATTCAATATTTTAAGATTAAGCAATTGGCAAACATAGTAATTTATGTTAAACAAAGATTTTGAAAGAATTGTTTTCAATAATTTTTGAATAAATAAGTTAAGAGTAATTTCTTTTCAATGCTTTTTAATTTTGAACAGTGTGCTATTATAACTCAGGCAAATTACAAACTAAGTGCTTTATCTGAATTCATGTGAAATTTCATATTAAATATTTACATGAATTAAGGGTGAAACTGCTAAGAAATTTTTGAAAAATTTTGCAAAAGTAAACAATGCGATGGTAGGTAACTAGAATGATACCAATGCTAAAGGACATGGTGATACTCTGTGAACTTTGAATTAACATTTTTCTTCCATCTTTCTTTAAATTCATAACCAAACCATTACCAACCATATCCTTCCCTAATTTTGGAGTATTATTTCTAAATCACAGTTCTGAGAGTAACCTTTACTCCTCTTCAGCTAATGCCCGTACTAGCCTTATTTATGCTCACTACTCCCTGCCAATAATCACCTTCATATGTTTTACCACATAACACCTGGTGTCTCCTTCATTTTATTATCTCCTACTATTTCGCCATGTCTTGCAGCACACTCTGTAATTACTACATGTGTGATGAGGGTGTTTTAGATTTGAATTTAAACAGTAGAGATAACAGCAACAATACACAAAAATAAAATACAATGTGCCTACAAAACAGGCATGACTGAGACCCCATTTCAGACATCCCGAAAATTACTAAATCCTTTTGGTTGGAAAAACGATCCCTTATGACACTGCCAAACTTTTTGTAGTAATTCATGCATGACTGTTTCACACATCCATCCATTCTCGTTTGCACAAGTAATTACATATATAGGAAAAGCTCTCTTTGGAATAGTTTTCCTTTTAAAAATGATCATTGGCTTTAGCTTGCCATCATTTGCAGCACAAATTAACACACATGTAAATGATATTCTTTCATGCCCCTGTTGTAAGCACGGATACAGTTTTTGCACCAGGTTCATCAATGATTCTGTTTGCAAGACAGTCAAAAGTTAAAGCCATTTCATCAATACTTATTATCTATGATAAAAGTTTTTTTGTCAAAAATATCTGTCACATATTTTAGAAAAGATGCTATTTTATCCAGCCAGATCATTGGTAATTGTTGCCCTACTGTTGTTTCTAGTATGCACAGAAATATTTTTTCTTTTCATAATTCTGCTACATCAGCAAGGCCCTCCTTTAAAGTCATTTATGTTCATTTCATTTGCCATAATTTACCAGAATGTAAAAAAATTAAAGTTCGTAGAAAACAACTCAGTGGTCTTTTGTTGGGAGCAGCAACCAAGGTCATCCAAACTATATACAATGACATCTAAGTAAATATCCTTTTTAAGGGCATCTAAGCACTGCATCTGTAGAAAACGCCGCAACCACTGAAAATTTAAGTTTTAAACATTTAAACGCTGCATTTCTTCCAGAAATGATGGTAAAAATAACTATATAAATGCAAGAAACATCTAAGAATATAGACTTCACAATTTTTCCAAAATTAATTTTTTTAATTTCAAAATGCCAAAATATGAATATTTGCCTTTTTGAAAATATTTCTGTACTGAAAGTATATATCTACAATCAACAGTTTTAATAATAAAGGCTGCACAAGACACAATGCATCAAAATTACTTACAAAAAGTTTTTATGCAACAACATTGTTCAAGTGACAGTGACTATCAAATAAAATGGCATAAAATATCATTAATTTGTAATTCAACAGAGATTTTATATATGAAGAGTATTATCATAAGAGCTACATATGAAACAAGTTTCTGTTAATTATTTTAGCTATACAAACATTCAAACTTTGCAAAATTAATTACATTACAATACGCTTTTGAAATTAAATTTAAAATTAATGTAAAAAACAAACTATAATGAATAAATTTTCTTCACAGAAGTTTAGTTTTTGACATTTAAAACATTTACCACTTGAATAGTTATTATGCAACAAAACTGCACTTTTTTCAGAGAATCACATTTGAGTGTGTTGATTTTAATATGGAATCATTAAAAAATCATCAGTTATAAAGCAGAATGTGTATACATACTTTGGTAATTCTATTATAGAACTCTCCATCAGAGCAGGGCAAACATATTCCGTTTGAGTATGATGCATTGTCATAACAACTAACACAATAAGTTGGTCCATAATCTGAAATACATTAACAAAATTGATAACAAATTTTTATGTGTCTAACATAAAAAAAAAAAAAATTCTTCTTCTGAAATACAAATTTAACTTTTATAGAATTAAGCAATATTAAGCAGCAGTCATTAAGTATTAAATTCATTATTCACTACAGATTTACAGGGTTTGTACACATTCTCCACATGGAAATTCAGTACTTTTAAGGACCATTAATGAAAAAAATTAAGGACCTATCAGTAAATGGGAGCTGAATATATTCAATTAAAATTCAATCAACTTATGTCTGAACTCCATTTTTTTAATAACTCTCTAAAAATAAAATAGATTTGCAAGTAGGATGCATTCTTCTTAAACATAATTTAATAAACATAACTATAAAACAAATTTGAGTATAAAATCCACTTTATAAAGTTTATCAGCTAGCATTAAATATTTTACACGTATAATAGTTGGATATAGTTTGAAATAAGTAATAGTTTGAAAGAAGATTAGAGACATTTTATTTATGTTTTACTAACAGTTAGATTTATATATTTTCCCCCCTTTTATGTCTCATTTTTCTGTATACTTAGTCTAGAGGTTTAGTTAATAGCAAGTAAATTTTATGTCCAATGTCATAGGTTAAAATGAGATGTAAAATCACATTCAGCATGATTCAAAACAAAAGACTGGCTGTTGTCACCACTCCTGCTTGCCTACAGAGAGACCTGCTGATCAGAACAAACCTGGTATAAGCATGGCTGCCAAGTTTTGAAAGTTAGCTGGGCTCTGTCAGACGAGCTAGTGTCGCAGCTTCGTATACAGTTCCAGGGGTTGTAACTCAGTTAATATACGTTAAGGTTCTAACAGTCCACTAAGGCACCAAAGGTGATAAGTTGTGCATTATTTTAAGTCTCACTAGATGCAGAGAATAAGTTTTACATGAATTTTGACATTTCTGTGTTCTATCTTGCGACCACGGTAAGGGTTAAATGAAAGGCAATAACTCGCTTTAATATGCAGAGATAATATTTAAGGATAAGCAGTTAGTTATAATTAAATTAGGTATTATTTAACCTCAGTCATTATGGATTTACATGGTCACTATTAAATCTTACTTCTTTCCTTATTAAAATCACAATCTAATAAAGTTTCACAGTTTAAAATACATGTAATTTATGATATTGATCCCTAAATGATATTAGATAATTACACATTAAAAGATACAAACCATTTATATTTTGTAACAACAACACTCAACAAAATATTTATGCATCTTTTTAATTTGAAGCCTACTCAGACATTTTGGCTAATGTATATAGATTTCCTTCTCTTTAAGCAATTTTCCTAACAATTAGAAATTTGTCTCAGTATGCAAAACAATGTTCTCACTAAGTTTCTGCGTGTTTTATCTCCTAACCTGTCAACCTCTACACAATGTACCTATGAGTGTTTTACTTGAGCTGGTAAGAGTTAAACAGTCCAACCCCCCCCCCAACAGATGTGAAGCAAATTACTGCTATGTCTGAAAGTAACTACAAAGTCAGACAGGTAAGCTTCTTATTTAAAAAGAAATAAGCTTCTTATTTAAAAAGATATTAGAACATAAAGGCATGTTCTTATGCTAACAAAGTCAATTACAGCTCATAGTGATGTAATTAAACAAGAAGAGTCAAATTCAAGCTAAAAATATGGACTAGTGGTCAAAGACTATACAATTTAATTTCATCTTAAGTTGGCTCAGTAACTCTATCATCATAACAAATTCAAATGTCAGCAGCGGTTATGCAAAGATGAATAATTACAAATTATAAGACCTGGCAGGAACTAATGCATGGAACAAGTGGAGATCAGAAACACACTCTTGTCTTACACTCCAAAAACCTCAGTTTAAAAACTGTCTAAGTGATTTGTATTCTGGTAGGAAATTATAGTAAAGGCTGATGTAAACAAATGGGTAATTTACATAATAACTGTACATATCTTTGAAGAATAATTTTCTTTCTCTTTATGTATTCGGCTTCTTTCTTCCACGTTTCCTTTTCATTTTAGAATTCTTGTATATAGTTAAAGATTTCAGTAATTCTAAAAAAAAACTAAATGCATTTAGAATGTATAGAAAAAGCTGCTAGTTTTATTTCTCTAGTAATAAGAAAATTCAGAAGAAATATGAAATAAGTAAAGTCCAATTACAGAGCTGGTGTGGCAAATTTTTAGAACTTGGTGACACATCAAGCAACAAAATGTAGAAATGGCAAAACTTTTAGGAACAGGCATTGGAGGCAGAATTTAGAAAGGCACCAAGCATCAGAATTTAGGATCCACAGAGATTGCATCAGGTGGGAAAATGCCTAGTGCCAGCCCTGTGCATGATGCATTAAGACATATTAGATGAATATTTTAAATTGTCAATTTTTAATTTCTTTATTAATAAAAAGCTTCTTTTCTATAATGCCTATCCACATGATAAGATTAGAAGCATTTTTTATATTTTCCATGCTTGTGACTAGTGAAAAGTAGAGAAAATAAAGAGAAGATAAAAATGTTAAGAAAAAAATTCTAGTATCAAAAGTAAAACATTCAACTATTATGTTTTCATTGTTCTTCCAGACGTTCTCCAAAAAAGTAAGAAATTATGTGTTAATACCATGGAGACATTTTCCATTTTGTCACATTTTTCTGGAATCTTTTAGAATCGTGGGTCTATAAATCTTGCCTTCAAATCTTTTTAAACTTTCCAAGCTGCAATGTCTAAAATCCTAAAGAAAATTACCCCTATCAATTCTGTAACAGCAAAAAGCCAGAAATATCTTGAAAAAAAAAATCGGAGGAAAAAAGTGAAAACTTAATTTTATAGAGAAAACTGATGCCTATTCTGAATATTCTGAGACAATTACAAGGGAAAACTCATACCATGAAAAAATTAAAAAGAAATTTTTAATTAATTACATAGCTATTTTGCTATTGCTAAGAACTGTTTCGTAAATTGCGTTGCTATAGCATTATACCTTGCTTATTTTTCAGATTCAAAATATTGTATAATAAGTGGCCAAAATGGAATTTATAATATGACAGCGAAAAATAAAAATGCTTTACTTTAATGTTATTACTTAAATATAATTACAACACATTACCATTATTTTAATGAAATTTATCAATGCCATAATGTTCTAAAAAAGTCGTCAAAAAATTCCCAGATCTCGGAATTAAAAAATTTCTATAGAAACTGATCTTAAAATCGTCAAAATGTTGATAAGTCACCAAATTTAGAACCGTTTAATAAAAGAATTTACATCCCAAAAGCAAAAAGTTAAGAACTCTTCATTAGAAAAAATGAAATAATTTCGAAATGCTTATGTCTCACTTGTTACTCAGAAACTCTATTCCACATTTATATTAGAAATAGGAACAAATTATAACACATTAATGCATTTACCTATTGAAAAAATATTCCTCCAAAATGCTAATTCATATTCAAAATAACAGTCACATAAAAACAATCAGAAATTTCAGGTGATTAAAATTAAGGACCTTCTGCCTATTTTGGCCGAAATTAAGGACTTTTTTAAAGACCAAAAACCGATTTAAAAAACTTAAGGATTTTTAAAGATTCTTAAGGACCCTGATTTACATAACCTGCAATGTAACTTTAGAGAAATCATGCATGCTACAATATAAAACACTATAAAATGATCATCTTCTTAGTATAATCCAACAGCATATAATTAATAAGTTTTCTTTGCACTGACATACATTTCATAATACAATAAAGAATAACCTAATGAATTTTTAACATACATGGAAAACACAAAGAAGTTTATAACAAAAGTGAAAAGAAATTTGTTTCTAGCAAACTAAAAAGCTATTATTACAAGCAAAAATCTCAAAACATCCATGCATAGAGATATATATTCATTATTTATAAATTGGCTCACCTGTACAAGTTTTGCATGTATAATGACAAGGCAAACATTCACTGTAATCTTCATTCACCACAGAAAAGTAGCCATCTGGACATTTAATTTGACAACTATTATGAACAAGATACAGGCCCATTGGACAAGTAGTACAATTCAAATTTGATCCACCAGTACAAAGCAGACATGTAGAATCGCACGCTTCACACCTGCCTCTGCCGTTATTAAAATACCTGAAAAAAAGGGTAAAACTTTTTTTCCTATTAATGCTTTAAGAAATTTGATATATTTCAAAATGTTCACCATATTATATAAAAATGCATAAAAGGTTGTAGAGAAATTAGATAATTTTGGAAGCAAGAAAGATTGAAAAATTAGCAAATGCCTTCGCCAGGAATCAAATCACAGACCTCTGAAATACCGGCTCAATGCTGACCACTACACCACGAAGGCACGCTAGGAAGGCAGGAGAAATACCTTACAAGGTCATCTTCCAAGCTAAGAAAGGGATAAACAAGAGAGACTCTGTTGTGATTAAAGCATAATGGATCCAAAAAAGGATTGTTCAAAAAGTTAAGGCAAAGTACACAAAAGCTACCTGCCTAAGGCTACTATTTGATAAACAGTGTACTATATTCAGACAAATTACAAACTCCAAGTGGTTAAGCTGAATTCATATTAAATTTCCCACCACATAGTTACATGAACTAATGGCAAAACTGCTAAGAAATTTTTGAAAATATTGAAAAAGTAAATAGTGGTACTACCTGCCACTTGATTATGGTATCTAGAATGATACCAATGCCAAAACATATCGTGTTCCTTTGTGCACCTTGAGTTAACAGCTTTCTTCTATTTGGGCTCTTAAAATACATAACCAAACTAACGTCATTCCTAAATTTCAGAGTATCCCTTCTAAATCGCATAGTTCTGAAAGTCACCTTTACTTCCTTCAGCTAATGCTCATACTAGCCCACTTATGCTCCCTACTCCCAGCCAATCACTTTCATATGCACATGTGCATATTTAAATCACTTCATCATTTTCATGCATTCTTTTCATTTTGACCAATGTCTTGCAGCACACTCTACAGTTACTACCACACTCCCCTTAACAGTCAGTAGAAACAGACATCCTTGAATTGGAAACTCTATACTTTTACAACAGGCAATAACTTGTCCTATCCCAAATGAACATCAAAACTATAGTACTCAAAACTAATAAACATAAGTAGAAAATGGCTTGTAATTAAAGCAATAAGCAATCCAAAAAAAGCCTGGCTTATTCAATTAAGGCACAGCACACCAGAGCTGCCGGCCTAAGCTCCTATCCAACTTTAACTAAGAGCATCCTGGACCTACTTAAACAAATGGCAGTTTGGATATTAATTATAATCAAAATATATATTTTTTTAGAATTGAGTCTGAAAGTAAATGTTAATTTCACTTTCAGAAATAAATGAAACAGCTGCTTTTTTTCATGAACAAATTGTTATACAGGCAGACTAAATTTCATCTAGTCTTTACATAGTCCTAGAAGACACATTAATTATCATTTCTATTTAGAACTTAAGAATTTACAGCAATCACTTTCAAATTTATGTTGCTGGATATCTGAATGGCAATTTAGCCATTTCATTCCCACTTTGTGCCACACAAGAAACATTTTTTTTTATTATGTCTCTAGCAAATGCAGTTTTGTCTGACATATGTTCATTTAATTCACTTTAACCTTTTCGTGATGGCGCACCTTTGTTTATGACGCTCGTGCGGGACGGAAGAGAATCGAAGGCAGTCACCGTACAGGATGGAGGTTTTGCATCGCTAAGCCTAATTTTATAACAAAAATCAGAAAAACAAGTTTCCCTTCTAGCATCGTAATTTTTGGTATCATTTTAGATTATTACTTGAGCTCTTATATATGTTAAAATTAGCCCTTAAAACATTTTTTTCTTTATTTTACATGAAAATATACTTAAAAATTGCTTATCTTCTAAAATAATTTTCGGAAGCACTATTCAAATTATTCCAAAGTTTTAATTGATAAAATCCATCAATAAATTTTAAAATTAATAAAAAGAACACAATAAAGACTATTTACAGTAAGAAGTAACAATATTTAAAATGAAAACGAGTGTGGTAAATCTCGAAGCACAGAGAAGTTATCACTTTGTAACTCTTAGAAAAAGTATCACTTTTTAACTCTTTAGAAAATGAATCAGAATTCTCTTTGCGTTAGTAAATGATTCACTAACCATACTAGGGTGTATTCTTCCTCTGATAAATAGCGCCTTTCCGTCATAATAGACTGGAGGTGAGGCTTTCCTAAATAAAAAAAGAAGGAATGGAAATATATCTGAAGGCAATGCAAAACGTAAAAAAACTCTGCACAGTAACCCTAAAAGACCGTACATAGTAGAGGGAAAAAATAGAATAAAAAAAGGAATTTGGATATAAATCAGATACGAGAATGTTTTCATTAGCATGCAGCAATTTAAAGAGCCCGCCTCCGTTTACGCTTCCCTTCCGCCCCACCCCCACCCTCGAACAGCTGATGAGTAAAATACCAAAGTCAACAGAATATATCAAACTCAAGGTCAGGAACCTAAAACTGTGTTCATTTCAAAAGTAATGGACACAGGATGCCATCTAGTGGCCTTCAGAAAAACATTCCAGCTTAAAATGCGTATACGCATCCCCCGTCCTCTGAATGTGATCTTTACTCCCGGCTGTAAGAGACGTTCTTAGGGAATGCGTATATGGGACACCCATCCTGAAAAGGTTAAGGTACTTCTCAGACCATTCAGACTAAAATACTTTGCTTAATATTTCCAAACTGCTTCTGCCTAAGAATAATTTTTCAGTATGAGAAATTTTAAAACTTCTCAAGCACTCAAACTTAGTTTAGAAAAAAATAAAAGTATATTCTTTCTATAATATCTCTATCTGAGAATGACTTCAGCTTAAATTTTGAAATGAATGACTTTCATTTTTTTTTACTAATACCAAATAAATAATAAATTAATTATATAAGAATAATAGTAGTATGAACCCATAACTATTGCACATCATATTTATAAAAAATAATATTTTTATTGCATAGCATTTAAAAGCAACCACATATAAAAATGAAGAAAATAAATGTAAATATAAGGATTTTATCATGAAACATATAACCTCTAATTTATATGGCTATCTATGCTAAACTTTACAAATAGCCTCACAACAGGCAGAGTATAAAGTTGAAACTGAAGCAACCCAATTTAACATTTTGCCGACCGCTGGCGGTTCAACAGCATACGCACATCCGACCGGCCGCTCACCCACAGATTCTCCCTGTCCTGAATAACTGTCAGAACAATCTGATAAATCGTCTCAATAAAACTCTCCAGTACCATTTTTTTCGCTCATCGTGAATGATAAATTTTTTAAAAATGGTGTGAAAATGTGGAAGTTTACGAAGCAACACACTTAACGCAAGTGAGCAATGTACCTCAATACTAATAATAAAATGCAGATGATACAGCAAATAGCAACTGTTTATTGCCATGGCTACCCCAAGAATAAAGCAATTAATAGGCTATCGGTCGGTAGGTGTTGAAGAAAAAAGCTGATTAATAGGCTTCAGTCAGTAGGTGTTCATGAAAAAAAGCCGATTAATAGGCAATCAGTCGGTAGGCATTGACAATAAAAAGCCCATTAACGGGCTATCGGTCAGTAGACATTGGCGACAAAAAGCCGATTAATACACGATCGATCGGTAAAGTGTTAACATGGAAATTTTCACACTTAGGTTGTCAACTGTGTTATACAGCCCTTGGAATTTACTTAGAGGAAGATATTTAATGAAACTCTTTGTTTGGATGACATCCAAACATTAATGAAACCTTCAGTGAAAACTCCAAACAATAAACTCTTTTTGCACTAAAAAAGGATCTTTAGTAATTTTTCACATGCATTAGTTTAAAACCTATATAATGAGGAAAATTTTACAGCAAATAACACAGGAAGCAAAACAAAATGCTTTGATTTAATTTTAAAAATTTAGATTTATTTCTGAGAGTCTAGATTGACACAGAGACTAGAAATTTGAATATAAATGAAATATAGTTGGAATCTGCCATGAGCACCAAATGGGGATTGACATTCAAGTAAGCCCTCACCAAAAAATAAAATTCGCATTGACAATAAATAGTTTATAAATACATTCTAAAGCCATTAGAGAACACGGCAGTACACAGGAGTTGGAAATGATGTACACTGCACACACAAAAAAAGGGGAGACAGTTATATATCTCCCACTCTACTGGGCTGATTGATGAAATTCAAATTGCATTTTTCATGTCTCAAAAGCGTGACTCAGGATATGTATTAGATTTACATATAGCATTTTTCGAATATAGGTATTCTGGCACAAAATTGGACTTTTTCAAATGACATGCCAACTTTTTTCCATATTTCGATTCTACAACTCAAATTATACCAAATTCCCAAGTTTTGTAAAAATCGCACAAGTAGTTTTTAAAAAATTAGCTCTCAAAATTTTAACTCCTCAATGTTGATTCTATTTGGTATGTATCTCATTTTTATGAAACTTATTTGATTCCTTCCTACACAGTTCAAAATTTAGGTTCATTCCAAATAAAATTCACCATTTTTTATGATTTATTTTTAAAAGTTGTATTTTTCAATAAATTTTATAAATTTTTCGAAAAAAATTTGAATTATACCCTATAATTTTTTTACGCTTTTTATTCAAAATTTCCAAAGATATATGGGAATTTATATATTGGCGCGTTTTGAAATTTGGCATATTTGTTGAAAGTGATAATAATGAAAATGTGGTTTACGCACTTTGTTAAAATTATATGAAAGTAGAAACAGTTTGACTTTCCCCCCACTCATCCACAATGTAAAATGGTAGGAACGATGCGACTTTTTTTCCACTCCTGCACAATGGAAGGGAAAGGAAAATAGTTTGCCATATATTAAGAAGTTCGCCAAGTGAATTATTCTTAGCTCAAATTGAAAAAAATGCGCAAAAATAATTTTTTGAATTTCGCACAAAATTTTACAAAATTTTATATTTAGGCATAATTTGAAGTGTAGAATCGAAATATGGGAAAAAAATCTGTATGTTATTTCAGAAAAAGTCCCATTTTGTGTCAAAATACCTATACCAGAACAAAGCTATATATAAAGCTAATATATATCCTAAGTTGTGCTTTTGAGATATAGAAAATGAAATTTGAATTTCGTCAACGGGCCCAGTAGAACAAGAGATATAGAACTGCCCTGCCTTTTTTTTGTGTGCATGTGCAGTGTATATAATAATATGACATACTGGCGTTTTGTAAATGTTGAAATCTTGAAACTCAAAAAAATTTTACTTCTCACAAAAAATACTCTCTACCTCACTCATTTAAAAACTACCACTTAACAGCTCATGCAAAAGCTTGAGAAAGATTTAAACAATGTAAAAAAGTAACCATTGTTGCCAACCTAATTAAAGTTACCAAATTTCCACTACTAAGACAAATTCCCACATGGGGATCATGGCAGTTAATAGGTTAAAATCCGTCCACTCTGAAATTCACTATGATGACAGCTATTTGTCATCACAAAAGAAAATTTTGTCCTTCCCCACATTATGATGATGATAGAGTCAACTATTAGAACCATACACAACTAAACATTTTATAATTCAAAATATAATCATTTCCCACTCATGTGTCAAGAACAAAGGCTTCCTTGCAAAATTTGAACTCACTTTCATGTGCCACATTAGTTAGCAGAATTTCCTTTTACCTATTTTAATATTTCACAGGTAGTTTGTAAAAGTGAAGCTTCTGCAGCTATTCCTGATAGAGGCAAAACAGAAGACAATGAAACTTGCAAAACTGTTCTCTGGCAGTCATTCATACTTTAAGAGAACAAGGAGCTTTTACCTCCTAAGCTTTTTTGTTTGAAAAAAAAGTTTCCAACTGTTTTGTTAACAATTCCTATTAATGGCTTCTATCTGCTTGGAAACTATTTCTTCGTAAGTTCCCTTTCAACAATTTTTCCTTGCTAAATATACATTTTCCTTCTTCTACAGACTCACACTTCGAAATTAAAATCTACACTCGAAAATAAAATTCATAAACATGTGAAAGAAAAAAATATTTATCATTCTTTTTAATCTAAAAAAGTTCAATGTAATAAATATCATAACTGGAATAAAATTTGGTAAAAATTGTTATAGTTTAAACTCCAGAATTCTCAAAAATATTTTGTTTCAAACATCTGCTGTGAAAACTATCAAATGCAGAACAGCACTGGGAATAAAAGTTAAATGTAAAGCGTTAAAATTCTTAAATATGGAATGTTGACATCCTCACACTACTCAAATCAACATTTCATGCAGCTAATAGCATCAACTACAAACATTCTTGACAGAAAGTCATTATATTGTATGAGGAGTGAAATTGCTCACAAGTATGACATGTTTCAGTACCAGAATTCAGAAGTTTCTCTAAGAAGAACCTTTCAACAATAGCCTAAGATTTCAGATTAATATGATTCCCTGCAGTGATGATTTCTTAAAAAAGTGCTTTTCAATATTGATGTTTTATTAAGGTTCATTATATTTTAAAAATACATATTATTTAATGCATAACTATTATTCCATATATTTTTGATAAATATACATGCTTTTATCGTCTTCAATGCACTTGCCTCTGTTGAACATTTTCAGCACATCCGTAACATGTAATTCCAACCACAATGAATATGCACCTAAAATAATCATTCCCAAACTGCTATCTTTTTTCATTGGTTGAGAACCCTTAGTCTAACTGCGAGAAAATAAATCTACCCTACCAGCATAATATTTAAATCCTATATGTCTGAGGGTGGTAATAAACTCTTAATTCTTTTCAATTAACTACTTCAGTTGAGATTCTCCACTTCCAAAATAAATAAACATAAAAGGAACGCATAAACATAAAAGAAAAGAGGGGAAAGGGGTGTTCAGGCAAAACAGAAATTTAGACATGCTGAAAACATACTATACTTCCAAATGACAGTCAAAACAGGTATACAAGAAAATCACACAAATAATTAACTATATCAATATGAAGATAAATTTGATAGCAAAACTTACCCAGAAGGACAAGAGGCAACACAAGATCCATGGTATAACAAAAGATCATGCTTGCAAGCTATGCAGTTATTTTTCTCATTTTTGCATTTAGAACACATTTCAATGCATGGAGTGCAACCACCATTCTTAGCAAAGAATCCATCAGGGCATGATCTTACACACTGACCTTCAAGCCATAAATATCTATGAATTAAATAAAGGAGAAATGTGTAATATACATTTCATATATGAATGTAATATATATTTCATGCAAGCAATGAAGTTTCTTCAATGTAATAATACAGGGGAGGAACCCTGGATGCCTAGGTAACACCATGTTGTAGAATTATATCAATATATATATACAGTTAAAAGTTGTTAATCCGGATACCCATAATCCGGAATGATCTATAATCCGGACCTCAAAGCTACAAACTTTCTGTGCATGTGCATAATACGTTTATGCATGCGTGTTTAATGTATAACGGACGGTATAAGCTAAGCTAAAATTACCTAATTATCTATTTCAGTTAATGTTGCAGACTGCGCTGTTCCTTAATCTTCGAATTGGATCCGGCTTATTATTTTTTGCAGACTGTTAGAGCAATTTTATAAAAGTAAGTTGGAACTTTCGATTATGTCAAATAGAATTTCCGATGCTGGAGCTGCCAAAGGAATCTACAAAGCGAAAGCATGTTTCGATATCCATCAAACAAAAAGTGGAATTGCTGCAAAAAATGGATAAAGTCTCCTTTGTTTCTCTAACCATTCCGAAATCTGTTTATCAATTTCACGTTGCTCTGTGGGGGGGTCACGGCACACAATGAACTGGCAATCCCAAATTTAAAAAAACACAACTTTTTGACAAATAACAAAATTTAACTTTACATGCGGTCTCCTAGTTTCTATACTTATGTTTGGGAAAGTTTTATACTCATGAAAAAATAAATTATAAGATGGTTGACTTCTGTGTGACAAAAAACTGACTGAGATATTTAATTCAAAATTTGCAATTTTTCATGTCATTTTCAACTTGCCTTTAGGGACTGGTTAACCAAATTAGAATCAATCGAGGAAATACGAGGGTTGGAACTTTAATAGTGGCAACTATTTATTTACAAGGAATACAAAAGTGATTCATGTCATCATGTTTTACAGTCCTTCAATATAGTCGCCAGCATTGTGTACAACCCGTTTCCAATGATGTGGAAGCCGCAGAATACCTGTAGCAGCGCCTGTTTTGTTGATAGTTCGAATGGACCGGTCTACTGCCGCAAGAATCTCACGAACAGTTTGGAAGCGAGTGCCACAAAGTGGTTCCCCTTCATCTTAGGAATTTAGTCACAAAGGCTTAGATCTGGGGAGTATGGTGGATGGTAAAGCACTTCTCAGCCCCATCGCTTGAACAAATCAGTCACAGCTTGCGCTGCATGCGGCCGAGCATTGTCATGCAAAATGAGAGGAGCGTTCTGCAGAAAGTGTTCCCATTTTTCTCTCAAAGCTGGTCGAAGATTGTGCTCCAAAAATGAGCAGTAATACTGCGCAGTGACGGTCTGCTGTGGGGGAACGATATGCATTAGGATGACACCATCACAGTCGTACACGAGAATCACCATAACTTTCACATTGCTGGGGTTCTGACGAAATTTCGAACATCGTGGTGACCCGTGATGACGCCATTCGTTTGATTGGCGTTTCAGTTCTGGCTGGTACAATCGGGCCCAAGTCTCATCCAGCGTAATGATACGGCGTAAAAAAGCATCTCCTTCGCGCTCATAGCGCTCCAGGTAGGTTCGGGCAGCATCGTATCGTAGCCATTTCTGCATTTCCATCAATTAATGTGGAACCGATTGTGAAGCAATTTTTCTCATGACAGGCGTTCCTTCAGAATGTGCAGCACAGTCGTATGCACTAATCTTGTTTGTCCGGCCAGCTGATGAATCGTTTGGCGGCGATCACTGTCCATTAGTGCGGCAACAGCTTGCATGCCTGCATCGCTGACACTCGGACGACCTGGCCGCAGCATGTCTGCCACGTTTTGGCGTCGTTCATTGAATGCTTTCAACCATCTTGCTACGGTTCTGTAAGGCAATGCAGATTCCCCGCAAGCCTCTTGAAGCCCTTGATGACACTGTCGTGCTGTACAACCTCTGGCACATTAAATTTTTAAATAACAAATAACATCGTTGTTCTTGTTTTGAAAACATCCTGACAACACTTACTTTAGACCGCGAGCTAATACAAGGATCCGTTCTTCACGTCACTCCGCATGCGCGTGACGTAGGCAGGACAAGTCTTTTTGCTGAGAGGTACGGTAGGTATGTAGTTTACGTGTGGTGTACGCGATATTCTTTGGTTTTGTTGCGTAGCATATTTCGAGCTGTGTTGCCACTATTAAAGTTCCAACCCTCGTATGTTTAAATGAAGTGGAACAAAAAAATGCATATAATTAAACAGGCCATACAAAGAAGTCATGGTGTCTATATCAGATTTTTTAATTATTAATCCAGATCCGATAAAAATCATCATTATAATGTTGGCTTCTGGAAGGATCAACTTTTCGGTTGGAGAGAAGTAGGTAGAAGGTGGTAGGCTAAGAAATTTTTTTACATAGGGACTCAAGAGTTCTGGTAATGCCACTGATTAGTAGTCATAGTACCATTAACCATTTTCCAGCACACTACTCTTTAAAGTTGGAATTTTACCCAAAAAAATTGTAGGCAGTCTATTTAGGCCTAAGGGAGTATGCAGGTATAATTTCACAAAGATTGCACAAACCATTTACATTTTGTGGGTGTGTCCGAAGTGAACACACTAAGCTGCGATAGGTGAGCATTGCTGTGAAGCACGTATTACAGTAAATATATATATATAAAGTCCCCCAAGCATTACTATTTTAACAATAATGTGAATTGTTTTCTCCACTGAAGATTGAGATTAGAATCTGCCTCATCCGAATTAAAAAAGTCTTTTTTTGCAGACATTTTGAGGCTAAACAAAAGAAAGAAATATATTTAATGATATTTTTTAATAAATTCAGGTATTTTATATTTATTCAGTAGCATACATAAGCATAAAATATGTGCATTAAAATTCGTGAGGGTATGTCAACATACTGCAACAATTAATTTCAGGATCATACCAGAGAAAATTTCCTGAAATTTGAAAGTATTATTTACTAATAACAAATAAATTTAGAGGGAAGAAACGTCATTAAATGATACAAATAACATAAAAATTAAGATAATTACTTAAAAATTGAATTAGAATAATCAACGATATTTTAGGAAATGTAGTTATATTTAATGGTTAGCCTAGACGACTGACTACTATTTTTTTTGTTTTACTGCAAAATGACAAAATAAGGCACTTATTAAAAAGGAAAAAAAAAAAAGTTAAAAAGGTTTTGTGGTAAAATCTTAGTATACGGTTAAGGGCTTGCAACGATTTTGAAAAGTGTCTCCAACACCAAAATGACCCATTTACTGCTCATCATAATGTCGTTAAATACAATGTGTACAGTACATGGAGGTTAGAATAGAATATGGAGGTTATTCTAACCTACAGAGTACAACGATACGTGTTTCTAACCAAAGTACTCCGTTTCATTATACTCCGTGTTCTAACCAAATAACATCTATATAAGAAAGAAAGGTTCCATAAACGTAATGCTATTATGCCGCTAGAAATCAGAGGGAGAATTCGCCAAGAGATTTGGCAACGGAACCTGGTGGTCAGAATTTCCCTCTCAGCGATGTGTACAGGAAATTGAGGAACACGTGTTAAGAAGAAACATTCTTTGACAAAACGTTTCTTTGATTATTTGCAATAATTTAAACATGGATTTTCATAGTTTTTTTTCCTCTCAAAATAACTATTGTAATTTCCGGAAGAAATGCCGCAGCGTTTACGTGTTTAAAACTTAAATTTTCAGTGGATGCGGCGTTTCTACCCATGTGGCGTTTAGGTCCACTAAAAATAAAATATTTCCTAGTATGGTCAGTGTACATAGTTTGGATGGCCTTGTCATTGTACATAGAATGGTGCTGTTCCCACACATGAGACCACTCAGTTGCTTTTTGTGAACATTATTTTGTTTACATTCTTTCCCTTGAATGGACCTACATGTCTTATTCACCCTAAATGAGATATCAGAACAACAACATTCTTCCCCCTTTCATATCAACATTCTCATCAGTTTGACTAGTCCCTCTCCTCTGCCATTCGATAAATCTTCCAGGACCCATCCTCTCCCCACCCCTGCCTTTTCCATGTAAATCTACTGTGATTTTTTTCAAAGGCGAACACGACTCCACCTGCCTCGCAATAACGAACTCTGATGTATTTCCCCTTCAGCATGAATCGATTTTTCTTGGCATTCTGCCAGATAGAGATCCCATCAGTTTGGGTACAAGTACTTGTTGGATAGTTTTTAAGTAAGAAGAGAGCAGAAAATTTTTGAAAATGTCACCTAAACGGCACAGAAGCTATAGTGCTGGTTTTAAGCTTAATGTAATTTCACGTGCTGAACAAATTGGAAATAGAGCAGTAGCTCGAGAGTTTGAAGTGGACAAGAGATATATTCGACATTGGAGAACTGAAAAAGAACTTAAAAATATGCCACAACAGAAACGAGCCAAAAGAACTGTAAGGTGTACTGTAAGGTGGCCGAATCTAGAGAACGACCTTGCAAACTGGATAAAGGAGCAATGAGGAAAGGAAATGGCAATTTCGACTGTAAAAATTCACTTACAAGCAAAATTTATAGCAAAACAAATTAATATAAATGATTTCAAAGGAGAGCCTTGCTGGTGCAGCAGATTTATGAAAAGAAAAAATATTTCTGTGCGTACTAGAACAACAGTCGGGTAACAATTACCAATGGACTGGCAGAATAAAAAGGCATCTTTTCTAAAATATGTGACAAGTATTATTGACAAAAAAAAAACTTCGGTCACAGATAATAAATATGGATGAAATGCCATTAGACTTCGACTCTCCTGCAAACAGAACTGTTGATGAAACTGGTGCAAAAACTGTATTTGTGCTTACGACGGGGCATGAAATAACGTCATTTACATGTGTGTTAGCTTGTGCCACAAATGGTGACAAGCTAAAGCCGATGATCATTTTTAAATGAAGACTATTCAACGACGTAATTATTTGTGCAAACGAGAATGGCTGGATGTGCGAAACAATCATGC